TAGAAACTGCTCCTTGGGCTTTCCCCAGCAATGTCAACTATTACTCATAGTTACTACAGTTATCCAAACACATGTCATTTAACCACCTCTAAAGGGCACATGAAAATGCTAAAAAAGGGTATTAGAGGTGGGTTGAACATAACAGTGAGGAGAGTACATCATTCATTTTATCCAAAAACATGAAGCGAGTTCGTTTGCAAAGGTTGGTACCATTGTTAGAAGCCACGCCTCCTTTACCCAGGATTGTTGTAGCCACGCCCATTTCTAAACAAACTGTGCAGCTTTGATTTTAAATCGGTAGAAGTTGTGATTGGCGTATCTTATGGCATTGATTAAAAGCTTATTCGGTAGTTTAAGGAACGGTGCACAATCGGCTCGCTTACATTACCATGTTTTGATTAACACTAACTGCATTAGAAATTAAAAACAAGACATGAAGAATAAGCGTAAATGTCGCAGATTATTCAGCTTGCTGTCGTTCTCGTCTGGAACGTCGCACGAAAATTTTGAACATTTCGTTCGGAAGCTTAATGTTCGGTCTTGAATTTTTGTCTCATACGTTTTACTGTTAAGTGAAAATGTAAGCCACAGGGATCAACAGAAAGAATGCTAGAAGTGTGAACCATTGTTGGCTTGGCAGGATTTTGCCGATTTTCGTGAAATTTTCGATGTTTAACTTTAATTTTCTCAAAATTGGCCAGAAGGATTGTAATGAGGCTATAGTCAAATGAAATCTAATTTTTGGATTGATTTTTCGATAAAATTTTATTAGAATCTGTAGGACAGAAGTCGCGGTGCCTTAATGAATTCGGAGGAAGAAAAATTCTAACGCTAACGCGTTAACGGCCCCCTTAGATTTTAACGTGAACACTGCCATGTATACATATATAATACTACAACGATTCGTTACGTTGGTAGTTACTGATTTTGATGTACACTGCAGCCAAATATCTAGGAAACTTATGTTGATCAGATTTGATTAAATGATTTACTAATAATATTTATACATACGGTGGTAAATTTCCTGTACACTGAAAATTTCTCAACAATTTGTCTATTAGTAATATTTCAAAGTTTAGTATGCTGATCGTTCGCCAAGCTAGCTTGCTTAAATGAACACCGCCATTACATTCACGACAAGGAACGTGAACTTTTTAAAAATATTACTAACACAGCGTCAGATAAGAGATCACTGATAAGTGTTTCATATATTAAAAACACGTATACATTTAGACGTGTTCTGTATTGTATGTTGACACTTATAATCTTAAATAAGGTAAAAACATGATATATATTTTCCGTTATAGGTTGGCTGCATCAGTATACTTTCTGCCCCTTTTAAAACGAAATTGTTACAAGGCGGAACTACACTCCCAGGCAACAATCAAAGCCGTGGCTGGTGCTCACCGGCCGCGTTCGAAACGGCGTCTGTGTTGTATCTTCATACACGAAGGCACGATAGTATTATTTAAACGCGACCACCGAATCGACGCCAGGGCCAAATATTTTTTTGGATAGGGTTGTACAAAGCAACAGGCGATCGATTCCATTGGTCGAACTTTCCCGCGCAAATTTGTGATTGGCCGAAATTTACCTGGCTCGACTCGGCCTGCTGCTCAGCTCGTCATTTCCATGGAAACGCGTGGATGCAAACTCAAATTTCTCAAATTTCATCAGACAAAATTACATCATACAATACTCAAAAAATTTCTAATTTTCTGTAGTATTTTTTATTCAAATTTTGTCCAAATCGCTTAGGCACGATCGGCTGTGCCATAAGGGGCCATCGTCAAGAATAAAAATTCTAACGCTAACGCGTTAACGGCCCCCTTAGATTTTAGTGTGAACATTGGCATACTAATACTACAGCGATTCATTTCATTAGCTACTGATTTTGCTGCACACTGAAAATTCTAAACAATTTTTCTTTTAGAAATATTTCAAAGTTTAGTATGCTGATCGTTCGCCAAGCTAGCTTGCTCAAATGAACACCGCCATAACATTCACGACAGGGAACGTGAACTTTTCAAAAATATTACTAACACAGCGTCAGATTAAGAGATCATTGATAATGTTTTCATATATAAAAACGTATACATTTAGGCGTATTGTATATTATACGTTGACACTTAAAATCTTAAATGACGTAAAAACATAATATCTATTTTCAGTTATAGGTTGGCTGCATCAGTATACTTTGCGCCCGTTTTCAAACGAAATTATTACAAGGCGGAACTACACTCCCAGGCAACAATCAAAGCCGTGGCTGGCGCTCAGCGGCCGCGTTCAAAACGGCGTCTGTGTTGCATCTTCATACACGAAGGCACGATAGTATTATTTAAAAGCGACCACCGAATCGACGCCAGGGCCAAATAATTTTTGGGTAGGGTTGTACAAAGCAACAGGCGATCGATTCCATTGGTCGAACTTTCCCGCGCAAATTGTGATTGGCCGAAATTTACCTGGCTCGACTCGGCCTGCTGCTCAGCTCGTCATTTCCATGGAAACGCGTGGATGCAAACTCAAATTTCTCAAATTTCATCAGACAAAATTGCATTAAACATACCTCAAAAAATTTCTAATTTTCTGTAGTATTTTTTATTCAAATTCCATTAAATTCGCTTGGGCACGATTGGCTTTGCCATAAGGGGCCATCGTCAAGAATAAAAATAAACTTTCGGGCGAAAGCAATAGGCACCCCTAATCGGGGGCCTAAAAAGAAGCACTCGCACGCGAGCAGAAAGGCCCCCTTGGGGGGGCCTAAAAAAAGGGAACGCGCGATTTTCCATATCTTGTCTGCGTGAGTATTGTCAGTTTCCCGATATACTCAAGAGCATTCAACTCACCGCCGTGGCCTCCTCGGGCCCGCCGAGCGCCGCCGCCACGAGGACGGACATGGAGAGGAGGAGGAGGAGTGCGGAGGATGCCCTGCGGATGCACAACGGAACAAAGGTTGCACTGAGTGCCGTGCTGGAAGTCACTTTGCGGCCCACCGCGCCGGGCCCGCCACAGCGCTGTACTTACATGTCTGCGGGGTCTGCCGAGGGGAGGCGGGGAGGAGTCTCTCAGGCACGACGACTGCTCTCACAGAAATCTTCCCGGACATTGAGCAACCCCGCGCCGCGGCCGCCTTTATAAGGAGACGTCATTCCCTCCATCAGAGGGGGTGGCGCTCGGCCGGGCGGGGCTGGCCGAGGCCCTCTGCACGGGCACGACGCACGTAGACGTCGTCGTCGGGATCCCCCACCCGGCCGTTGCAAGATTTCCTCTTTCATTTTACACCCAGAAAAATTCCTTCTTGACCGTTCTTGATTCAAAGGACATTTGTACTCGGGTTTGCACAATAGCAATTTTCTCTTGAAACAATGAAAAATACCATTGAAAAATGAGATCGCTCCTCTTCGAATAAGAAAACTGCCCAAGCACAAGATTATTTTTAAGTATATTTTTCTTATTGGAATAACATTTTTGGATTGGTCCAAGTGAAGAATTGTACCTGTGCAAACCCGAATACAAATATACTACTTAACCAAGACAGGATTTTTCTGGGTGTACCAAACGAACGAGACGGGTTAACCACAATTACTTTCGGACTTGCCATTGAGTATCCTTTGAGCGAACTACTTGTGCAATGACAAAGACAAGATGTCATATTTCCCGACGAGATTTACATTCATTTTTTGTAAGATAAGCATTATTCATTTTAAAACCAGGTCGCTAGCTCAATTCGTTCTCGAGTTATCGTGACGACAGACAAACAGACACACACACACACAGACACACAGACAGACGCGAAACTTTTTGATCATCACTGGAGTAATAGGCTTCGCTATCGCTCAGCCAATTAATTCTTCCTGGCAAGATCCCTTGCCCCACATTAAAGCGTGAACTGGGACAAGACCCTCCCCATATCCCACCTTCTCCCTCCCTCCCTC